TTGCATATTGAGAAATAATTCAAAAATTAGCTGCAGGACAAGGTTCAGTGACAACAATGTTCAAAGGTAGCTATGCACAAAACAGATGATAGATGCTTTGAAGACATATGATTCTTAAGATTCTTGCCTAAGTTCTTCAAAGACCTCTCCGATTCAATAAAAATCTGATTTTCAGGACTGTATTTTTCAAAAGCAGTTTATTAATATATCCTTTTTATGTTTCCATGTAGCACAGTGTTGTTGTCTCACAGCAGAGGGGTCCCCAATTCAAGTCTGGACCTGGGGTGCTATCTGCATGGAGTTTGTATGTTCTCCCTGTGCTTGCATGGGTTTCCTCTGGGAGCTTCGGTTTCCTCGCACTATCCAAAAACATGCTGGTACAATAGTGAAAATTGGCCCTAGGTGTGAGTGTACAGTATGTCTGTGTGTGCCCTGCAATGGAATGGTGTCCTGTCTAGGGTGTAGCCTGCCTTGATCCCGGTGCTTGCTGGGACAGGTTTGGACTGGGCTCCTCCATGACCCTGAATTAGAAGAAGCAGTTAGACAATGAATGGATGGAAGTTTCCATGTACAGTAGAAAACTCAGATTGTATACTACTACTTTTTTCAGCATTATATTTTAGCACTCAGCACTTAAAGATGATCTACAGTGAAATAACTATTCTGCACTCTCATCCACTGCTTCTGAATGATTCATTTTTCTCAAAAGTGTGAATATTTGCTGTATTTTTAAGTCTGTTCCCTTACATGGCTCTACTTTAGACTTAAATGGAAACCTTACTGTAAAAGTTGATTGCCAGACTGTTCCTTTTTCTCAAAATTCAGAGGGTACATAAAACTCTAAATTGAAACAGAAACTGTTCTGTGAGGCATAACAGCTTGGTTTTGTTTAATGTTTTCTTACATCCTGTGCTGAACATATGTCTCTCTGAGTGCTGAGTGAGCATTTCATAACTAGGAGGGTTTTTTTTTAGACCTTATTATTTACTGAAACACCAAATGTCTTTCAGTGATTCCTGTTGGTGCTCCAAAGTTGACCAGCATGCCACAGTACCACAGACAAAGCAGGGACCTTTCAGGACTGGTTCTAATATTAGCTAAATGTGCCATTGATGGCTTAATTCTAATGCATTAACCTAACCAACACTGCCTACATTTACAAATGCAGAAGCATTTTGTGTCAGTTTCCACTACAGTTTAAGTACAATAAATTCCACCTTTGAAAAACATAATTGACCTCTTTGATTATTACACTGTAATATTTACTTTTATTTGTATATTGCAGGTGATCCCGATAAAAAATCAAAAGTTCCAATATACATACAGACCTTTACAATTACACTAAAAAGATCATGAAAAAATAAACCTTTGATTTTTAAGATGCGTTAGGTAGACAGCGCCATCTATCGCTTATATAACCTCAACTCGTAATCAATTCCAATAGTTTCCTTTTAATTCTAAGAACTCGATAAAATATAATACTGTAACATGAATTTTTAATAAATAATTACTTTTACACATTAACAATAAGAACTGAATGAAATACACCAGAACACAGAATTAAAGCTATGCAGCTATTAAAAATCAAAGTACTGTACCTTGTGAACTTTTGATATGCTATTCTACTCATTAAACAGCATACTTTAATATTTTAAATACTCTAAAATATATTTTAAACTCAAACATATTAAACATACAATTTTAATACTGTATTTAATGTTATTTGAAATATCTGAACAGACACCATTATTTGTTTATACATCTTTTTTTGTGGTTCAACTTTTTAAGCATTCTCCTTTATTTTAATGCTGCTAATGTAAATACTCATGCTGTTACTGCTTCAGTATGTTAGCTAATAGTTTACCTCAGTGGTTCTCAGTTCTGTTTTATGAAACTGTTCCTTGTACCAGTGGTTCCCAAGAGCTGGAATGAAAACAAACAGACAAGGTGTTATTCATGGTGACTAGGGTTGGGAACCCCAGCACCTGTACAGACTGTAAAGCTTGGATCCACTATGCACTCCTGTACTGGCTGAAGTTAATGTTCGATACACGGGTATTATTTCAGGCTCGTAGTGGACTTGGTTTTTTTGTATCTGACTAGTACCAGGATTACCATTACCATGTACCATTCCTGGACATCTTTCCATTTTCTAACCACTTTTGTCATTCAATATTCATTACAGGGTTCTGGGGGAGCCGGAGCCTATCCTGGCATGCAATGGGTGCAAGGTGGGATATACAATGGAAGGAACGCCAGGTCATCGCAGGGCAGATGGACACTAATACAGACACGAGCACATTCACACAAGGGCCAATTTTTCCACATCCCACCAATTAACCCACCAGTACGTCTCTGAACTGTGGAAGGAAAACAGAGCACTCACAGGTAACCCACGCAAACATTAGGAGAACATAGCCAGCAGCCATATCACTCTACAACTCACAACTGCCAACCCACTGAAGCTAAGCAGTTGTGAGCCTGGTCAGTACCTG